TATACCTCCTCCCTTGTAGTTTCTGCTTCCTCCAAGTGTCTTTTTTTCCTCTTTTTTTGTTTTTCGCATATCAGGGAAGCCTTTTTTTTTTGTCTTTTGTCTTTTTTCCGTGTCCGGCAACGGATCGCAACCCTCAGTGTTGCCCCCGTACCGGACCGGGGACCGGCAACGGGATCGCAAGCCTCGGTGTTGCTCCCGCGCCTCGCTCAGCCAGTGAGCGGGAGCCGGTCTGTATGTGGGATCCGAACCCTCGGACGGGAGCGCCACCGCGCTTCCCAAGCGGCGCACTATCCAGTGCGCCAGCGGGCCGGCCCTATATATATCATTTTTATATTGAGGGAAGCATGGAAACTTTAGCTCCCTTTATGTACCTTCCCTTCCCCGTCTATAATTGTTATAAACATTTCCTTTGCATACTTTTAGAACCATTTGGTGTTATAAATTTTGCTTCAACCACCCAGTATAATTTAGAAAAAACAAGGAATAAAAGGAATGTTTATGTATTTACCTGAATTTTTGCTTGATAGGTTCTTTCTTTTTTCTTGATATTCCAAGGATTCTTCTTTTATCAATTCCTTTCTGTTTAGGGAACTTCCTTTCACTATTCTCGTAGTGTAAGTCAGCTGATGATGAATTTTCTTAATTTTCTTTTATCTGAGAATGTTTGAGTTGCCCCTCATTTACGAAGGATATTTTGGCTAGATATAGGATTCTGGACTGGCTGATGGTTATTTTATTCCAGCACTTTATTCCACCCTGTACCAGCCACCAAATCAAAACCAAACCAAACCAAAACCAAAACCAAACACCATGCCACTTCCTTCTCCATGGTTTCTAATGAGAAATCTGTTGTCATTTGAATTTTCACCCCTATGGGTAAGGTGTCATGTCTCTCTTGATGCTTTCAAGATTTTTTTTCTTTGTCTTTAGCATTAAGAAGTTCGCTATGATGTGTCTTAGTGTGGAATTTTTGTGTTTATCCTATATGAGTTTTACTCACCTTTCTGAACTGGAGGTTTATGTCATTTGCTAAATATGGAAAGTTTTCAGCCATTATTTCTGTGAGTACTTTTTCAGCTCTGCCTACTTCCTTTTCTCTTGAGACTCTGATAACACAATGGCAGAGCTTTTCTTATAGTCCCACAGGACTATTCATGATTTTTTTTGTCTCTGTTGTTCAGATTGGGTTACTTTTATTTCTCTATCTACCTGTTTACTGACTCTATTCTCTATCCCATCTGATAGAGTTTGAGTATGTTGTCCCTCCAAAGCTCATGTCAAAATATGATCCCCAATGTGGCAATGTTGGGAGCTGTTTGGGTCATAAGGGGTGGATCCTTCTGAATAGATTAATACCCTCCTTGGAGGTGGGGGTAGTGAGTGAGTTCTCACTCTCTTAGTTCCTGTGAGAGTTGGTTGTTTAAAAGGACCCTGGTACCTCTCCTTCTCTCTCTCTCTCACTTTCTCTTGCCACGTGAACTTGCACCTACCGGCTGCCTGCAGTTTTCTGCCATGAGTAAAAGCAGCCTGAGGCCTGCACCAGATGCAACTGTCCCAGAATCATGAGCCAAATAATCTCTTTTCTTTATAAATTATCCAGTCTCAAGGATTCTGTTATAGCAACACAGAAATGGACTAATCCACCATCCATTCTACTGAAGCCTACTTATGGAGTTTTTAATTTTGGTTATTGTACTTTCAGTTCTAAACTTTCCATTTGGTTCTTTTTTATACCTTATAATTATTTACTGAGACTTTTGATTTCTTTGCTGATATTGAAGCAGTCATGTGATGGCTGATTTAACATCTTTGTCAGATAATTCTAACATCCCTGTCATCTTCGTGCTGGCATCTGTCGATTGTCTTTTTCATTCAGTTTGAGGTTTTCCTGTTTCTTGGTACAGTGAATTTTTTTCAATTGAAATTAGGACATTTTGGGTGTCATGTTATTAGATTCTGGATTTTATTTAAGCCTCTTGTTTTAGCTGGCTGCTTCTGACACTGCCTTGGCAGAAGAAGGGGGTGTGCAGGTCATTTCCACTGTTTACTGCCAGATAGGGGTAGAAGTCAGGTTTCCCACTCTGCCTCCACTGATGCTTGGGTGCTCCTCATTACTGCTGTGTGGGGTTAGGAGTCCTATATCCCCACTAGGCCTGCACTAATACCTGTGGAGTGGGAGGAACTAAATTGTGATCTGACCTTTTGAAAAATCAGGAGAGAGAAATAACAGCCAGTTTCCCAAACAACAACAAAAAACCTTGCTGGGTTCATTGTAATACATTCTGTTTTATGGAATAACAAGTTGCCCGATTGTAGAATTGCAATAAAGCCAACTGAGGTCTTTAAACTAAATGAGTTGTAATTGTGTTCTTTGACAATAGTGATCACAGGTGAAATATTATAGGAAGGCACTACTTTTAAGTCTCAGACAAGCACGAGGTGTGATTATTATTAATGTACTCCTTCCTCTTCAGGTTGATTGCCTGTTTTACCATTCAGATCTCAATTCCACTGTCACCTCCTTAGAGAAGGCTCCAGGACCACTGTGTCTAAAGTAGCTCCCCTTTCCCCATCACTCTCAATTCCGTCCTGATTTTAGTTAAGACACTGCTCACCTGAGAACTGCTTTCATTTTTTGCTTGCTTATTGATTACCTGTCTTTCTGCCCACACTAGAATAAAAGCTCCCAGAGGGCAGAGCCCTTGTTTTGTACCCCCCAGGCCTGTAACAGTTCATGGTAAATGGCGGACCCTCAAGTTTTGGTGAGTCAGGATAACAGTGGTTAAGTGTGAAGACTCCAGAGGAGGAGTACCTGGATTTGAAGCCCAGCTTCTCAATTTCGGTGACATTAGGCAAGTTATTCAACTTCTCCATGCCTCACTTACGCCACGAGTAAAATGGGAGATTCTGATAATATATACGTAATAGACTTTTTAATACATGTAAAGTACTAGAACAGTGCCTGGCACATAGTAAGTCTTACTTAAATGTTGTTTTCTACTCCTCAACGAGTGAATAGAGTTGTTAATACGTTAATGTGCACGCGACCCTGTAAGTGTATCAGATATGCTCCGCTGCCTCGGGTTTCGCAGTAAAATGACTTACTCTTTTGGTAACACTAGTTGCTTCGCTCCACTGCCCCGCGTCACCTGCCTGGCCCGCCACCGTTTAGCGGAAGGGGAGGTGCGGTTCCCAATTCCGGCAGGTTCCCAATCACCCACGGGTGGCACTGCTCGGGGTTCTCCCAGGCCGGGGATGAACGAGCCCCGGCGGAGCATTTCTCCTGGGACGGGAAGCCCGAGCCTACGGTGGCCCAATGCTGCGTCCGGGAACATAAGGGACACCCCGTAAAACTCCGGCTGCAGTTGACCGAGGACGCTTCCGACCCACGCCAGCCTCTTGCCTTCAAACCGCCTTGGCCCTTGTGATCGAGAGGCGGAGCGATCGGGGTCAGGGCGGGGCGGAGCGATCGGGGAGGAGGCGGGGCGGAGACGCGGGCAAGAGGCCACTGACTCGGCGCTGCGGGCTCCACCTCTCGCTCTCCCGGGCCGGCGCTGCGGACGCGCTCCAGCCGGGTAAGGGCGCCGCTGGCCGGCAGGACCGAGCCGCGGGGGTGGGGACCCGGGCGGGGCAGGGTCCGGACGGGGATGCGCGCAGCGGGAGGTGCTTTCATAGGCGCAGAGGCTGACCCTGCCGGAACGGGGAAGGATTTTCTTCTTTCTGCTCCACGCTGTGAGCGGGCGCCCCACTCCAGGTGAGGGATCTGTCCCCTTCGATCCGGAAAGAAGGGACAGGTGCGGACCGCGGCGCGGCAGCACTTTCCCGGCGGCCACCGCCTCTCCGCCTCCCTGGCTCCGGCGCTCACCTCTCAGGAGGAGCACCCGCCCCTTTTCCCTTGGGTCCCACTGCCGAAGCCCCCCAGCAAGCGCAGCCCGGGGTTCACTTCCCAGCCGCGCGGCAGGGTTGACTCCCCCTCTCTGGATGGGTGGCAGCGCAGTCTTGACTGAAAATCGTCAGTGTTGGGGAAGCTGTTCCACAGTTGCACGTGTCCGAGTGCCTCATCCCATCAAGTTCACATTTTTTTTCTGAGCAGTTGTGTTTGACTCTTGAAAACGTAGGTCTAGAGCCTTGACCTGGGAGTGCACTTTCCCCGGGATCCTAAATTTACTTTTGATTTGATTTGACTTTTTTTCATGGACGAATAACATGTTGCTGTGTACCAGGTTCAGAAGCAATCTCATCTATTGCCATTCTTTGGAAATTGGAGTATTTGATTGGAAGGGTTGATCTCAATGTCAACTTGGAACCACAGGGTGGCTGGTGGTGAAGTGTTTGAAGGCTACCCAATGCCGTTTTAATTTTGCGCATATGCCCTGTCTTCTTCCAATGAGTGCGTATTTTCCCCTCAGGAAATTCTGAGAATTTACTCCCTTTATTCCCTAGGTGATTATTTACTAAAGGGCTGTGGAGGAAAAACAAACAAACAAACACAAATAAACAAAACAACACCAACAAATTACCGGGTCTCCCATATAAATTTTTGGATTTAACAGATTAGTTTGTGATGCTGGTAGCTCCTTGGTCCACAAGAATCACATGTAGTATGGAATACCGTGATTTATACAGGAAAAGTATGGATAATTTTCACATTACGTATTTGAAAGTATTTTTTAGTTTAGTTACATTTTCAGTGTTTATGTAAGACATACTTTTCCCGTAGTCCAATTAATCTGATAAATATATTACTACTCTTGCCAACTCAGGATGCTTACTGTAGTGTGTTTATGTTAATGATCTTGATTCTTCTCACAAGGGTGTGTACATTCTGGCTTGTGGAACTGTATCGGGCAGGTGTTGTAAACATGCAAATCAGTGCTGTGCTCTAATTAGCAATACGTTTGCCTCACATAGGTCCTTGAAGTAGAATTTTCACATCTTCCCAAATAAGAAAGAATATAGAATATTAATGTATGCTGCAGCATTTTTAACCTTTTTACCTACTTCATTCTGTATCAAGATAGTTGTGTTTTCTCAGCAGCTATTTACTCAAGGACAGGGGCTGTGTTTTTTTGTGTGTGTGTGTTTAATTTATAAAGAAACAATTTCTTACAGTTTTGGAGTCTGGGAAGTCCATGGACCAGGGGGTGCATCTGGGGACGGTCTTCTTCTGGGAGGGAACTTCCTACAGTGTCTCATGGCAGCAGGCTGTTACATGGTGGGAGACTGGCAAGAGCAAGAGCAGGGGCTGTGTTTTATCAGACCATGGTAAAGCTTATAGAATGGCAACCTTTGCTCCCAGAAGTCAACCCTTGACAGGGAGGTTGGTGGGGTTGTGGGCGGTGTCTGGCCCACTTTTATGCTTGGGAAAGAATTGCTGGCCTCTCTGCCTTCCTTTGGGCATCCAGAGTGCATGGAGGCTGGGCCTTGGGCCACCAACCACACCTCTGCCTATAGGTTTCTTCAGGTTGACCAGGTTGGTGCCTCTCCTCCCTGCCCCAGCTCTTCGAGCTCCTGGCTTCCATTGCTGCTCCTCCTCCCAGATTCTCATCCCTAGGGAGAATCACCATATTGTTCAGGGCAGGGGCCTTCATCCATAGAGTTAGCAGGGGTGTTGATCCTCTGCCTGGTGCTGGGTCCCCTGTGGATGCCTCGTAAATGTCTGTTGAAGCCAGTGTTGCTTGTTTCAGAGTCTTTACTATGCTCTATTCTTGTCCAGTGTACAGCTGGCAAAGTGGAGTAACTGAAGTCGAACCTGGATCAACCCATAGGAGCCAGCAACCTTGGTTGGATTAGGGTCATAAATTGGGCATTTAGGTCTGTTAGAAAGGAGTGAAATTGGCTCATGGTCACTGGCAATTGTAAAATTATCCTGTACCATGTGATTATGCCATTAGAATAGCTTTGTTGAAAAATACACAAAAACATAACAACCCAGAGGAGATGGACTTACTGGTTGCCTCCACCTGGGCTTGCCTCTTTGTCTCTGCCCTAGCTCAAACGGTCCTTCCTGGATTGGGTTATGAGTGTTAATTTCCCCACCGTGTTTGACTGCCCAGAGCTCAGATGACCACAGCTACTGTGGTCTAGCTGTAGATAATTACATTTTCTTTTGTTTAGAGGATACAAGGATGGAATTTTTCAAAACAGGTGGTTATTTGGGAAACAAAGAAAAAGCAAACAAATGTAAAAATGTGTGGGCATAGAAGCCAATGTATTTTTTTGTTTTGTTTTTTAGTTTTAAACTTTAATCCAAGTTACATTTCTCCCTTTCCAGAAACAGCCACTTGTAATTCTTTGGCATTTATTGCTTATGGTTGATACTTCTTGAGTTTTTCACTTGTAAGCATTATTTATCGACTTCCTACTGTGGAAGGTGATGAGTTGGCTTTCTTTTCCCTTCCGATTCCCACCACAAGCACAGCTTCCCTGTTGTTCCATCTTTGTAATAGTTAAAAAAAGAATACTGTGTTTTGTTTTGTTTTGTCAGATGGCCGGTACAGGGATCAAAGCCTGGACCTTGGTGTTATCAGTGCCACACTAAAGAGAATATTGATTAATGGTTAGATCAATGTTCATAGCTAAGCCACGCACAACTTTTTGTTTTCCTTGGACCTAAATTTCTTTGTTCATTTTGTACTCATCAGTAATTGAACCCGCAACTCTTGGCCAGTTTTCTAAATCTTTCCTCAAATACACCTGGCATTCTATCAATTTTGTTTTCCCCAAAGAAGCTGTTCCTGAGCCTCCTGGCTTGCTGTAATCTGGACTGGTTGCCTTCTACACATGGGGGCACAGTTGTCACCCTGAGGGCCTTCCTTCATTATCATCTTGGGGATTCCCATCATCTCTCTGTTGTGTTGGATCTTCTGGTACCTGTAGCACACACCTTCCTCTATTTTGGTAGACTCCCTTGGTATGGTAAAGCATATCCTCAAGGAGATTCCTGGAAAGGGATGCACGGGATGTCTATTTTTCTGAGACCATGAATGGGTAATAAAATTATCTATTTTCCACTGACAATTGATAGTTTGGTTGAGCGTAGAATTCTGAGATGGAAAGTTTGAAGGCATTGTTCTCTTGCCTTCTAGCTTGTGGTGTTACTGTTGAGAAATTCAGAACTGTTCTGATTCCTCAGTTTTTGCTTGTAAATCTGTGTACAGGCTGTATACCTGCTATGGCCTCTCTGGGAGTTTATAGAATGTTCTCCTGGCCTCCACAATTCCTGAAATTTTATGATGCTGTTTCCTGGTGTGAGTCTTTTTCATCTCTTTGCTGGGCTCTTTGAATCTGGAAACTTACATCCTTCAGTTTGGGAAATTTTCTTGAATTATCTCATTGGTAATTTCTTCGCTTCTATTTTCTGTGATGTGTTTTTGAGAAACTCATGTTGTTCAGATATTGCATATTTTGGACTTGACCTCTAATTTTCTTACCTTTGCTTTCCTAATTTCTATCTCTTTATTTCTTGGTTTTTCTTTTGGGGAGATTTTATCAATTTTATTATCCAAGACTTCCATTGAATTTTTCATGACTGTAGTCATATTTTTAATATTTTAAATTAAACGATTTTTTGGTTCTCTGAATATATAAGGGTACATCAAAAAGTTCTTGGAAGGATTCATATTATCTTTTATTTTCATTTTTCCATGATCTTTTTGAAGTACTTTCATATTTACATGTATATGTTTATGTGTGGTTTGTGTATTTCTTTCCTTCTTGTTTTTGTTTTATAGTTTCAGTGTCTTCTCTTACCTTCCTGAGCAGCTTGATGATTTTTTGGGAGAAATTTTTTTTTCCTGTACAAACTCAGTTTTCCCAAGTTGGCTTTTGTCTTTTCATTTGTTTAGGTCTCTGTCTTTCATATTAGAGGGTTTCCTCATGTTTCTAATGCCCTTGGTTGTCTCCTAACATTTGAGTAGGGAGGGATTAAAAAGATGAAGATGTGGATAGGCTTGTCCACTGGGAACTCTGCTGTAGAGTGATCTGGCTGGGCCTTTTATTTGGGGAACCTCTGATGTTATTACCTCTTGGGCTGGTGAGAGTCCTCGAGAAAGCTTTTCCGGTCTTTTTTCTGGAAATTGAAGGAGAACCTGGTTGCTAGCAAACTGAGAACTAAGTGGAGCAGAAGGTTGCAAGTCTCAGCATCCAGTATGCAGATGCTCAGAGCCTTCTGCGCTGTTTCAGTAATGCACCTGAGCTGCCTGATGGACACCTTCGGGGTGGAGGTGGGTGGGGACGAAACTTCAGGTTTTTTTTGCTGGGGTAGGGAAGGGGAAGTTACCCAACTACTCAGAGTGGCTGAAGGGATCTGAGAGATCCAACATTTAAAAAATACTTTAAAAAGTATTTTAATTTTTAGCCCACATCTCCCTGCAGAAGGTCCAGTTGCCTTTAATTATTTAGCCTTTTGGAGATCTCATGGTATAAATCTGGTTGTTTATTGGTTTCCCCTTGCCCCACCAAAATGTTTTTGTTATTGTCTTCTTGTTCTCTCCATCCTTGCTGGTTTATATACTAAAGAAAAAAATTCCTTTGCTGTCATTTTTTTGGGCTTTCACCAGGGTGAGAAAGTAGAAGTTTTTGTTCAGTCTGCCTTTAGTGCCTTGAATATAGATTTCTTAACCAACCTCTACCTTGAGACTAGCCTGGTTCAGTCACGGCAGTGTGCTGCTA